ATTTTGACTGCTTTGGGGCAATATAGGTATAACACATATATATATACCGGAAATGAAGGAGGGAGGAGGTAACTACAATTATTAATAAACGCATTTATATGTTGTACAAAAAGTCACAAAATTCTAAGAAGCTGTGTCATTCTATACACAATTGTTTTTCTAATTGAAATTGAAAAGCAGTCAAAATGACTGCCTTAGGCAATCTAGTGTTAATGCAATTGCTAACATACCATATGTGTCTTTGCACAAATCAATATTATCCTACAATGCTTAAACAAGAAAAATGAACAATTAAACATAAATGAAACGATAAAATAACAAAATTATATTGATTTGTACTCATAATTGAAAACATAGAATTATACAAAAATAACATGAGAGGAAATTCTCTGCAAAAATTAATCACGTTTAGATTCTTTTGTAACATGATTTAAATTACATTAAATTCCTATAGCAATAAGAAATAGTCCGAGTAAAAATAACTCTAAATAATTCTCATTATACATGTATCTAACCTAACCTAATTTTCTTCTCATCGAAGTATCCTCTAGAGGGTTGAAGGAACTCAAAAGATTCTTTTCTAAGAAATTATATACACGATGAATTCAAGTTGACCACGATCACGCCACAAAGATCGCAATTAGTGTGCGTGCGAGAGTAAAAAGAAGCGACGAAGAATGTTCGTAATATTTGAACATGTTTAACCGATGTTTTGGGTGTCATAGTTTCGGCAATGTAGTATACGTTATTACATTTCGGTAATATAGTGACACACCAACATGTGAATGTAAATAAAGATTTGTTATTCAAGGTGTTTAAACAGGTGTTGTTCAATGCCGAAGCATAGGCCTCTTTATTCCGTAATATGAACGACTGCAGTTGTTGTAAGATAGAGCTTAAGACAAGCTTAGCGAGAAAATTAATACATATATATTATATATACATGCATACGATATAACGATTAAGTGTTACGATGTAAAATGTTAATATATACAGGGTGGACCAGTAATCGTTAGTATTTCAATTATTTTCGAAATTGTATGAGGCAGAAGAATTATGGAAATAAAAGTTACTCTGTGCAAAAGGAACTGTTGTACGGTGACAAATTTTTTTATATCTAAAATTTTTTTTTTGCGCATTTATTTATATCAATATATGTCAATTTGTATTCATATTAACATACATATTCATATTCCTATATCAGTACATCATATAACGCAGAAACATGTCCGTGAGTTACGCTGAGACGTTGTACGCATGCTGGAAAACAAAGCAGAAAAATATTATATACGTACTCTTACAATGATAGTACAGTAAAACTCTTATTAAAGGTGCTGACTCCCCATTGGTACCATTATCAAAAAATTTTTCATTTTCTTAAGGAATACTTTTTAAGGGATACGTAAAATCTAATTACGTCATCATTGTGGGTGCTTCGACTACTTTTTCCTTTAATGAGCGAAGCTCTTATACTTGACTTTGCAAGTTCTTTGTCTGTGTTTTTCTTTTGCACCACTCAACCAATTCAACCGGCTGACACGGTTGACTATTTTTGCCTTAGCGTGAAATTTACTCGCTCGCTCAACATTGTTAGATTAGGCGAGGAGCGCCTCTATCGAACAAACCTAGTTACTTTCTTTGTAAAAATTTTCTGCGCATATTTATCTCTTACGATTTAGAACTGCGCAAGGGTCAACATTACCATAAAGTAACAGCGGATCCTGCGCAACAAATTTTCTAGCAAATCATGTTGATGCATTTTTCAAACTGAGGGACACTTTCCAAGAGATACGTAAAAATTAATCACGTCATCACTGAGAGTGCTGCAGCTGCTTTTTCTATGATTACTCTGCCAAAATTTAGTGCGCATGTCTCTCCTCTACGGTTTAGGACTGCACAGGGGGTAAGGGTTAACTGATTAATTCCCAGTGCATAGCATGGGCATTCCACCAGTTAGTAATTAAATGATTAAACAATAAGTTTAATTAAGTTACGCACTGTATGAAAAGTGGTAAAAATAAAGAAAAATTTATCAATAATCATTGTGTATTTATTGTTACCTAACAAACCCAACAGAATAAAAATTTACATATTCGAAAGAGGCAATTTGTATCAAGAGAACATGAGAATTCCTGCAATTTGACGTCACAAAAACTCCAAGAAGTAGCTTGATAGATACCTTCTCACAACTTATGGCCTCCTGATACAAATTTCCACAATTGGTCGGTGGAATTTCAAAAATCGCACCCAGGAATTCCTGGAATTTGACGTCACCAAAATTCCAGGAAGTGGCACGGAGGATACCTCCTCACAACTTATGTTCTCCTGATACAAATTCCCAAAATCGGTCGGTGGAATTGCAAAAATCGCGCCCGGGAATTCTTGGAATTTGACGTCACTAAAATTCCAAGAAGTGGCACGAGGGATACCTCCTCACATCTTATGTTTTCCTGATACAAATTCCCAAAATCGGTCGGTGGAATTGCAAAAATCGCGCCCGGGAATTCTTGGAATTTGACGTCACCAAAATTCCAGGAAGTGGCACGGAGGATACCTCCTCACAACTTATGTTCTCCTGATACAAATTTCCAAAATCGGCCGGTGGAATTTCAAAAATCGCGCCCGGGAATTCTTGGAATTTGACGTTACTAAAATTCCAGGAAGTGGCACGAGGGATACCTCCTCACATCTTATGTTTTCCTGATACAAATTCCCAAAATCGGTCGGTGGAATTTCTAAAATCGCGCCCGACACAGCGCCATCTAGCCATAATGCGTGGAACTACAGTAGAAACTTCGCTGATGGTATATTACTGTTGAAGTGTAATCAAGAGTTACCGAGAGAATAAACACTGTCGGTACTTTACTCGGGTTCATCATTTTTCAGCAGTTTATTGTTAGATGGCGCTGTTAACGGCATTTGTGGACTTTTTTTTAAAAGATTATTTCCTTTTTTCTTGATGTATTTATGTGCGTATCATTTTCAGTAATTCCTATACTACATAGTGATCATCAGAGTCGTCGGTCAAGATGAGTTCTGTTATCAAAGTCATCATTCAAGAAGAAATCTATTTGTATTTGTGAGCAAATGTCGTTTGATCATCTTCAATTTTATTTTAAAAACAGAATCGTTCGCTATTTATTCTGTAATCAAACCTTAATTCGAAAGCAGGCGTTAAATTCAATTTAAGAATCAAGTCCAATATAAACAGTTACTTTGCAAAGTTATTAATTTATTATTTATTAAAATATAGGAAGACAATTTCAATGCAAACGACGCATGTGGCGCCATCTAGCGGTAGGGCACGCGAACTACCGAAAGGCCTGTTCGCGCTGAGCGTAGTTCACCCTGTTCGCTGGAGAGATGGCGCCACATGTTCAGTTTAAAAAAAAATTCAATTAACACTGATTTTATTAGTTTAATTAACTTCAATATGCATGAAATTACATCAGGGAGCAAGAGTAATTAGCTTCGGAATGGTTTGAATTTACTAAACCACTAATTTTCAGTGAAACTTTGGAATACTCTTATGTTCCGATGCTGCCCAAATTTTGCAAACAAGCTTGCTTTTTCTAAAGGAAAATATCTGTGAGAACGGTTGATATTAATGTGAAGCTTAAATCTAACGTTCTTAATTGAATGACTCTACTTTAAATATTAATTATTTCACTTTTTTAATAAATGATATTATGATCATTTATGACATCTCGTCGATTCAATTAATGACGCAACTGGTGTGTCTCATTCGATTCAGTCAGTCACACACCACGTGTGTCTTCTACAGAAATCAATATTACCTTCCAGTGATCGAAAGAATATAGGATGATACATAGTTGATTCAACCAGCGATTAATTGAGTTGAATAATTGACCAGAATATAACAATTTTTGCATTCGGATCATTAGATAACATTATGAAAATTGATTTCTTAAAGCCTGTTGAGGAATTAGCATCCCTTCAAAAGACGCCTCCATGGATACGAGTCAACAAGGGAAATCGCGATACTGAAAGTGGTTTCTGTAGTGCACATCACATTCTGCAATACAACATTTTTTCTATGTTATCTAGTAGTGCTTAAATACATTTCGATTTATGTTAATATATTATTGTGGGGTACTTTCGGAAATTGAGTAACAGGATTAGATTTTGATATAAGTATTACTGTGTCTATTTAATTTTAATTTACGTTTATTCATGTAGAGTTATTTTTACGAAGTATATGTAATTATATGAAAGTCTTGTTATTAAAATTTGTAAGAGCTTTGTTTTAATCAACCACATCTGACACCATGATGGATATGGAGATGAACGCTGGGTTGGACGTAAGTACATTTTTTGTTAAAAGTTATATTTCATTTAATAAGAATTGTTTAAAGAAAGATTTAGTGAAGTTTATGTAAGATGAGGAAATTGCGAATTAGTGTTTTAGAAGATTTGGATTTTGGAAATTTAGGAATTTAGGAATTTAGGAATTTAGGAATTTAGGAATTTAGGAATTTAGGAATTTAGGAATTTAGGAATTTAGGAATTTAGGAATTTAGGAATTTAGGAATTTAGGAATTTAGGAATTTAGGAATTTAGGAATTTAGGAATTTAGGAATTTAGGAATTTAGGAATTTAGGAATTTAGGAATTTAGGAATTTAGGAATTTGAGAATTTGGAAATTTAGAAATTTTGGAATTTAGGAATTAAGGAATTTAGGAATTTAGGAATTTGGGAATTAGGAATTTATTTAATTAGGAATTAAATTGAGAAATTGAGAAATTGAGATACTGACAAGGAATTTAGGAATTTGAGAATTTGGAAATTTAGAAATTTAGGAATTTAGGAATTAAGGAATTTAGGAATTTAGGAATTTGGGAATTTAGGAATTTGAGAATTTGGAAATTTAGAAATTTAGGAATTTAGGAATTAAGGAATTTAGGAATTTAGAAATTCAGGAATTTAGGAATTTAGGAATTTAGGAATTTAGGAATTTAGGAATTTAGGAATTTAGGAATTTAGGAATTTAGGAATTTAGGAATGTAGGAATTTAGGAATTTAGGAATTTAGGAATTTAAGAATTTAGGAATTTAGGAATTCGGGAATTAAGGAATTAAGGAATTTAGGAATTTAGGAATTTGGGAATTAGGAATTTATTTAATTAGGAATTAAATTGAGAAATTGAGAAATTGAGATACTGACAAATTCAGAAATTCAGAAATTAAATAATTTAGAAATTTAGAAACTAAAAAATTTACATATTACCAAATTCTCAGCTTAAATGCAACCATAATGCATACTATAAATACATCTTTTTAAATTACAATTACAGATATCCATTACAGTCATCTAGATCAAACCAAACATAATAATAATAATAATATTTTTATAATTCTAAGAACACAGTAAATTAAAAACAAATGAATCATCACAGCAGCAACCTGAACTTTCAATCAGTCTTTGTATTCGACCTCCGACGAAGGTCACTTTTTGATTTATGTTAATTAATTTTTATTTACCGTGTCTCGTTAAGAATTGTTCGAAAATTCAGTAAAAATGACGGATAACGAGAGGAAGGAAAAGCAGAACGATGCATCAGGAGAGCAAGCCGATGTTGTTATTAAAATTGAACTATTTCATGCATCTATAACCTAACCGCGCGACTATCTGCGGTAAGAAATCTTTCAACAAAAGATTACAAAAAATATTTAAAACTTTCTCGATGATATTGTTCTTCACCTTCATTCGTCTACTACTTTTATGTAATTTTGAAATTTTTTATATTGATCAATTTTTATGTAACATTGGCACGAGGGTTGTTAAATGTTTAGTGAAAAATAATCATTATTTTATTATTGAGTGGACAATAATTATTATTATTATTATATTTATCATTTTTCTATTTTTATTTGATTATGGTTTTAACAAGAATTGCATTATTATTTGAGAAATCATGAAAGGGGAAAGAAAACACTTTAAAAGCAAAAAATTAATTTATATTAATACATTTATAATATTTAAGTAAATTTATATTTATAATATTTATAAAAAATATATATGAAAAATAGTAATAGTTTTAATGTCACTCAAAAGGTAATTTTTCAGTCGTCAAAGGTTAAGTTGAGTTATGTGAGAATTTGAATTTGAATTGTTAGAAGGTCACGTGAATTGTCAAAACAATTAATAACTTCAAAATTTTCCTGCTCTTTTGTATCAAATTATTATCGAATATATTATAGTAGAGATATTTTCAAAGTAACAAACATCACAAAATTAAATACAATTTTATTGGCGGGAAAATTGAATCCACGAATAAAACAAACTTTGAAACTCTAAAACTTTTGAAGTAATAATTAAGATATTTATTTTAAAAGTAGCCTAAGTGTATTCATGTTTAAATCGAGATATTCAAAAGTTTGCGTTTGAATGAAATTAAAAAAATACCGTGTATAACGTATCACTATCTTGAAGTGTATCTAAGAAAGTTAAATTTATTATTCATATAAAAATAATAGAAATTATTAAGTGAATAATATGTGTCTTCTTACCAAAAATGGACTTAAATCATTTCTAAAAGAAACGACTCTATCAATTTTGAATCAAATTGTTACTATCAAATCGATTCACAATTATTCTTAACAATATTTCCAAACCTTCTATTTGAATCAAATAGTCACTGCCAAATCGATTCACAATTATTCTTAACACTAGAAAGACTGAAACTTTGATTCATTTTGACTGCTTTGGGGCAATATAGGTATAACACATATATATATACCGGAAATGAAGGAGGGGGGAGGTAACTCCAATTATTAATAAACGCATTTATATGTTGTACAAAAAGTCACAAAATTCTAAGAAGCTGTGTCATTCTATACACAATTGTTTTTCTAATTGAAATTGAAAAGCAGTCAAAATGACTGCCTTAGGCAATCTAGTGTTAACAAAATTTCCAAACCTTCTATTTTTTCACCAATCTCCACTGAGCGCATCAAACACTAAACTTTCAATTTCCACTCACATTAAACAACCCCCAAAAAGACCACAGAATAGCTCACAAAGCGTTAATCTCCCAGAATATTAGAGTAATAAAGTAGTAGACGATCATCAGCGACGAACAACAAAAAAAAGCAATATCCCTAAATAATAAAAATCCACTTAAAACATAAAAATGGTTGATAGAGGGTTGCCGAGTATCTTGGAAAACGTAGCTCGTAATCGACGTGTCTCAGTGAGGATTTATTCTCGAGTGTCGTAAAGTGTCGCAAATAAAAAGAAATCGGTCGTAAATTTTGGGCGGACCCGTGCGTTATCGGGTCCGAGACGCGATTAGTATCGGATAGACCGACGGTTAGTGGCGCGGCTAGGTGACGATGATCGTGAAAAAGTAAGGAACGAAAAGATGGATGTGTCCTGTCAGCTTGTTCGAATGAAACGTTTCAGGACGAGGGCAGCGAGGACAGCGAGTCACCGTCGGAGGGTAGTTCGGCCAGTAGCACGTTTTGTAATCTTGAAAAGGACTACTCGAAGGTGAGGACAAATACCTTTTTATTCTTGTGTAGCGACGGGGAGCGACGATATTACACCAGTAACTGTAGACAGTATCCTTGGATGTAGTCTAACAATAAGAGAGGTAGTTGAATTTTGTTGTATTTACTGCTTTGTTTGTAGTGGGTCTGTTTTTGGGAAAAAGAGGAGGAAGAAAGCATTTTGTTTGAGGGATTTTGAGAATTTTAGAATGTGAGTGTGTGGATATTTGAGGATTTTAGAATGAAGGTAGTTGGGGATATGGGGATTGGGAGATTTAGGAATTTGGGATGTAGGGATTTGGATACGTGGGGAATTGAAGAGGTAGGGATTTGGGGATATAGGAATTTGGGGATGTAGAGATTTGGACATTTAGAGATTTGAAGATTTAGGAATTTGAAGATATAGGGATTGAGAGATTTAGGAATTTTGGGGCACAGGAATTTGGGGATGTGGAAATTTGGGGATGTGGGAATTTGAGGATGTGGGAATTTGGGGATGTGGAAATTTGGGGATGTGGGAATTTGGGGATGTGGAAATTTGAGGAAGTGGAAATTTAAGAACTTGGGGATTTTAAGAATTTGGGGATGTAGGGATTTGGGAATGTAGTACTTTAGGGATGTAAGGATTTGAAACTGTAGCAATGTGATTATATAAAAATTTGGAAATTCAAAATTTCTGGAAAATTAAAAGCTTTGAATTAGAAAATCTGCTTTCTTGCCAAATGAAAATTATAAAATTTGGGGTCTTGGAAAGTTGGAAATTTCCAATTGAAAAACTTGGAAATTAAGGTTGTCAAGAATTGAATATTTTGAATTAGAAAACTTTTAAATTAAGGTTTTGGAGAATTGAATAATTTGAATTATAAAACTTGGAAATTAAAGTTTTGAAGAATTGAATATTTTAAATTATAAAATTTGAAAATTCTCAAATTTCGTATTAGAGTACTTAAAAATTTGTAAAATCACTTCAATCACTTAAAATCACTGTAATTTCAAGTTCCAAAAGTCCTTGAAATTCTCTAAATTTCAAAATTTGTCTAGTTTTCCTAAAAAAATCATTTTAAATAAATTATCAAATTCCGACAGTATAGTCTACTATTATAAAATACTACATTCAGAAAAATAAAGCTATTATTTTATTTAATTTCATTGAACATAATTATTAAATATATGCTAATTAAAATTAAAATATACGTAAAATTATATCAGCGAATAACAACATATAATTCACTTATTTATTAATAAATTAGTTTCAACTTAAATAAATCAGTTTATATTAATAAATTAATTTCAACTTAAATAAGTTAGTTTCAATTTAAATTAATCAGGTTATATTAATAAATTAGTTTCAATTTAAATAAATCAGTTTATATTAATAAATTAATTTCAACTTAAATAAATCGGTTTACATTACTAAATTAATTTCAACCAATACTTAATCGACAAAACCTGACCCAAAACTCGCAAAATCATCTTCACAAAAAAATTGTAGTCAATTGAACAGCTAATGAATAAGTTGTCATTTCTCTACTCTCGTTTATTAATTATCAATATCTTGTTGCACTGAAATTATATAAGTTATTTTATTCTTTAGGTGCTGAAGGAAATGAAAAGCGTCGAGGCGCTGGCTCCTTTCAGGAACGAATACACAAGACTCTTTGAATCTCTCTACAATGCACACATAACGGAAAAAGAACTGACGGAGAAGTATCATTTATTGGAGGTATAATTAACGCATAATTAACGTATACTCTATTCATGTTCTGTCTTTAGAATCTTTTATTTATATCTCGGATTTTCATTTTGCTATTGAATGTTGTTTCGTTATAATTATTTTTATGTTCTTGTTTATAGCAGATGCTTGTTATATTGCCAGTTTTGGACTTTCAGACCTTTATGAGTGGTGTTTTCTTTTAACATTCGTGTATACAAGAAAATATAAGAAATACAGGAAATGTACGACTAAAAAGAATATGGTGGTCAATTCAGAATGTTGCAATATTTTAGAAACTTTGCTGCTACTGCTCTGTGGCAATATAATTAGAGTATACTGTTTTAGGTCGTTTTGAAAGTTTATGCTTTGAAACATTTCTTTTTATAAATAATTTCAATTCTAATTACAATTTGCATAATCAAGGATCTCTGAATACAAAATTTGCTTCACATTTTAATTTTCATTAGCTGCTTTAACACTAAACCTACCGACATATAATGTGTACTTAATTTGAAATTAAAAATGAAGTTAAAAAATAAATAAACAAACGACGAAACATAAATTAGTACACACATCTATTCTTTATCTTGAAAATCAATGCTGATTGTAAGAAATGTACTTTAACAAAATGTGGACTTTATAATAAGAAACTTGTGGAGCGGTCATTTGACCGGTTTAGTAGTTTTAGTGTTAACATTGTAGTTCTCAGTGACGCAACTAAAAAATTGATAAGGATTTGAAATTAAATCAAATAATGTCAAATGCTACAGTAGTGAAGTTGAAGGATCTAACATCTTCACATATAAGACGAAGTTAATCGAATCGAATCAAGGGGTCGTAATTTTCAGGAGGAGGTTGCCAGCAACGAGCAGAAAATCAACGAGTTGACGCGAACGATCGCGAGTAACAACCAGGAGATCGAGAGGTTGAAGATCGAGGTAGTGAACACGGTAAAACGAGCCGATGCTGCTCACACGCGTGAACAGAATGCGCAGGAAGTGATCGAGAATCTGCGATTGAACGTCGCTCAGATGACCCAGGAAATCGCACAAAAGAATAGGGAGCTGGCTGCTGGTGAAGAGTGAGTACCGTAGATGTCGAATTACCTAAGACGGTTGCTTTAAAATTTTTTATTTTTTTAAGTTTATAGTTGTAATTATTATTTCAAGCTGATATTAATAATTGTAGTCTCAAGCTTATATTAATAATTATTATTTCAAGATTAAATTAATAATTGTTATTTGAAGCTTGTATTAATAATTATTATTTCAAGCTTATGATAATAATTGTTATCTCAAGCTTATATTAATAAATATTATTTCAAGCTTATATTAATAATTATATACTTTTCAAGCTAATAATTATTATGAATGGTATAACCCTGGCAGAGACTGTTAGGTCGTAGAATGCATATCACAACGAGAGAATTAGATCTCACTTTCTAGTTATACAGGTTGTCTCACAACTAGTGTAGGTCCATGAAATAGGGAGTAGTCGACGCGATTCTGAATCAGATTTCCCTTTGCAAAAATGAGATTTGAAGCTTCGTTATTGAATTATTAAGAAAAAACGCGGACCAATCAGAGCGCGGTTACGCGTGCGCAAGCGCGAGGGCGGTGGTTTCGAGTCTAATGGCTGCGCGCAGACGCGAGGGTGGTCAAGCTTATATTAATAATTATTATTTCAAGATTAAATTAATAATTGTTATTTGAAGCTTGTATTAATAATTATTATTTCAAGCTTATGATAATAATTGTTATCTCAAGCTTATATTAATAAATATTATTTCAAGCTTATATTAATAATTATATACTTTTCAAGCTAATAATTATTATGAATGGTATAACCCTGGCAGAGACTGTTAGGTCGTAGAATGCATATCACAACGAGAGAATTAGATCTCACTTTCTAGTTATACAGGTTGTCTCACAACTAGTGTAGGTCCATGAAATAGGGAGTAGTCGACGCGATTCTGAATCAGATTTCCCTTTGCAAAAATGAGATTTGAAGCTTCGTTATTGAATTATTAAGAAAAAACGCGGACCAATCAGAGCGCGAGGATTACATCCGCTCAGCCGCCATGCTCGAAGCTGTCGCTTTCGCGTCTGCGCAAGCGTACTCCATGCGCTCTGATTGGTCCCTGCTTGGTCCCTCCCATTGCAGGGATCTACACTAGTTGTGAGACACCCTGTACAATAATTTAACAGCTTTTCGTTTCAAATCAATTCTTTATCCGCAGCAGCAATAAGACTATACAAGTTATTACACTCTAATGAGTATTTTTGTTGATTTGTCGCATCTGATGAACCCTTAACCTTAACAGTAGAGTTTTCTATACATGTCGACCTATTGCTTGGTTGTTCACTTGCTTAGGTCACTTTGAGGAAAACCACTTCATACATCATTTGTATTTCCATCTCCACTCGAATATTCACTAAACCAATAAAAAATTAGAAATTGTTTCCCTCCATCAATGTCGGAAAAATGAAAATATATCAAGAATGAGTGAAATAGTATGAATTGTGTGACACAGTCGTTATTGTCGCTATTATTCTAATTTGCGGATATGTCACGCTGAAAGTGTTCACCGGGGATTCATTATAGTATAGCTTTTGATATTTCACCGCTCTGACATTTTCACAGTATTTCTGCTTCCTTGGAGATTTTCGGCTCCACGGTTCGAATCGCGTGACATTATGGTTACACGTTTATAACGCCGGAAATTTACGGTTTTGAGGAAGATTGAACAGGTTATAGTTGATACGTGCTAGGTAAAGCGATAAAAATGTCGAAGATCAGGAAAGAGTAGGTGTCATTTTAGGAAGGTCATATGAGAGTACGTGCGAATTACATATGAAAGTTGCAGAACGTTCTAACAAAGATAGAGGTAGATTTACATGTATGCTCAAATCTATATTTAGGAAATGGAAGACAATTTTGATTATTGCAATTTTCATTACAGTCATTTAATGACTGTGTTTTTAAATAGCATATTTAGGAAATGAAAGGTTATTTTCATTTCTGAAAATAATTGTATAAAATTCTAATTTCAAAATTTGCAACATTTCAAATAGTTAAATCACTAAATCACCAAATTTCTGATTTTCTAAAATTACAAATTACCAAACTTTTGCATTGACAAATTTTCATACTTCGGAATTGCCAAAGTATAAAAATGCAAATATTTGAAAATATTAACACTATTAAAAACTAGTATCACAAGTTAAAAAAATATAGAAAGAAAAATATCGCTATTTTTACATTTAAAAAATTTTCCATTCTTCTTCCAAACATCTATCTCGTTCCCATTAAAAATACTTCACCAGAACCGCAATTATAATCGACAAACATTTCATTCTCCACCCAACTACTTTGATCGAAGTTTAAATTTTTCCTCGGTACAAACCGAAAGCATCAGTGCTGAAACAACAAAGTGAAAGCATTCTATGCATTCTCCAAAGTTAACAGAATTTTGTTTACACGGTTGAGAAACGTGTATGCACACGTCCGACAGACACCAATCCATCGATAACGCTGAATGGAATTAATCCGAACGCCTTTGATGGAAATTAAATCCTCAGCTTTCTCGAAAACCCACGGAGTTTCAACCTCTGTAACACGGAATTGCGGCTTTACAGGATTCCCAGGACAAAGAGCAAGCTCTTCCTTCAAAGAACTCGGTTTTCGATTTAGACGTGTACGATAGAGGTCACTGTATAATTTGGTTCGTTCTTGTATTACAGCCATAAATTGGCAAATCATTGATTACGTTATTGAACGATGATGGACATCTCTTTTTAATTTATAGGCAGTTTTTCGGTTTAAAGCATATCATTTTGAGATGGTTATTGTTGAAATTGAGGTTATGGGGTTATTATGATATGATTATTTTGATTATGTGGAATGCAATTTTGGAATTTTGGAATTTTGGAATTTTGGAATTTTGGAATTTTGGAATTTTGGAATTTTGGAATTTTGGAATTTTGGAATTTTGGAATTTTGGAATTTTGGAATTTTGGAATTTTGGAATTTTGGAATTTTGGAATTTTGGAATTTTGGAATTTTGGAATTTTGGAATTTTGGAATTTTGGAATTTTGGAATTTTGGAATTTTGGAATTTTGGAATTTTGGAATTTTGGAATTTTGGAATTTTGGAATTTTGGAATTTTGGAATTTTGGAATTTTGGAATTTTGGAATTTTGGAATTTTGGAATTTTGGAATTTTGGAATTTTGGAATTTTGGAATTTTGGAATTTTGGAATTTTGGAATTTTGGAATTTTGGAATTTTGGAATTTTGGAATTTTGAAATCTTTGAATTTTTGAGCTTTCGAATTTCGAAATTTGGAAATTGGAATTTTGGAATTTTGGAATTTTGGAATTTTGGAATTTGGAAATTTGGAAATTGGAATCTTGGAGCTTTGAAACTTTGGAACTTTCGAATTTTGAAATTGTGGGATTTTGGAATTTTGGAATCTCGGAGTTTTGGAATCCCGGAATTTTGGAAGTTAGAAATTTGGAATTTTGAAATTTAAAAAATATGAAGCTCTGAAAATTTAATAATTCGACTCAAAAATATAGAAATTTAGTAACCCGATAACGTAGATACTTAAGCAACCCCAGTTAATAAATTAATATATCCCCATATCTGGCACGATAACAGCGATTTATGGGGTCCGCCCTAAGGACCTCCTTTTTATCTCTGCCCAAGTAACTCTCTGATATCATTTGATAACAATCCTATAATATCCCCGTGAATTTTCCTTTTTTCTTCATTTCTGTTCATATTTCGTTCGATTCACTTTTTATATTTTATTTTTACGATGGGTAATAAGAGCTTGGTGTGGGATTTGAGTTATGGTCTTGTTTGATGGAGGCGTCGTCGCTGCTTCCGCCGTGATACAGTGTTACCGGGATTATTGTAATGTCGACCTACCACCGAGAATTTACAATAAACCGGGATGAGAGAAGTTGTCATCGTCTTCTCAAGAAGAGAATTTATGAATATTTGAAGAAAAAGTGAGATTATCGGACAAGGTTTAAAAACATCAGTCATTATAAATTTTTTATTTTCTACATATTATGTACTTATTTATACTTATATACTTATTTTATACTTATTTTATACTAATTTTACACTTATTTTATTTTCTATCACTTTTAAGTAGAAGTTGACAAGTTTTTAAAGAAACAATTAAATGAATTTATATTTGTTGCTACTGGAATCTCTCTATGCTACAAATAAGTAGGCAGCCATATTGGTACCCATATTGCATTTGTGTTTATTATAGTGTCTGTCGTATTTATAAGTCTCATTTATATTATCATTACGTATTTTATCAAGTAACATCTTTCTCCCTTTAATAAGCTATTCTTTAATTAACTATTAATACATGTAATTCTGTCGATATTAAATTTCGTTCGATTTGTATTATATTTCAGCCATCTTTGTTATTTCAACAGCTATTCGATTTATGTGACCATAAATAAAAAAATAAAAATATTTCTTATCTTCTAATGTATTTCGAAGTCGGTCACATATTTCTCATTCAATTATTTTACCCGTTGTTTATTTCTTGACAAACTTCCTTTTCTTCAAAGGACGGTTTCTTTTTAACTTTAATGAAATCTGTGTTATGTTTCCTGTATATCACGTCATATCTGTTCTTGGCCGAGTTTAATGTTGTTTTGTCAATGCTCACCCGTGTAAATAATGTGATTTTGGAAATGGTGGTTGCAGATGTACTTAGAGCTTCAAGAATTGCATGCGTGTCAGCAGAGAAGATGGATGTTTGTTTAGGAAGGCATTGTTTAGTTATGCTATTGTCCGTTGCTGCGGGTATTCTCCTACATCAGATTTCGATGCGCCCGTATAAATTTCGTTGTATACTGTGTATTTGCTATCAAGTTCACAAATTTGATTTTACGTTCTGTTGATTGTTCCATTTTTCACGTTTCTGGAATTTAATATGATTGGTATTGACCCGATTCAATGACCTTGATATATGTTGTGGAGATTATTGTCCTGAGTAACTTTTTCTTATAACTTAATCGTCGCTCGTTGTTTGTTGCAAAGTTATTAA